TCCCTTCCGCCCCCACTGCCCGCACACACCCAGCGTATTGCGGGAGGACGCCGGCTTAGCGGATCATTGGATTCTGCAAACACCGATGGAGCCCCGTCCGAGGGCCAGGCGCTGTGCAGGGGCTGGGGGTCCGGAGACGACAGAGACACAGATCCCGGATTGAGGGGCTCCCAGGCGGGGGCGGGGGCGGGTCAGACGCGAGGACAACTCTGTAACAGTGCCGGGCGCTGGGAAAGCCGTGTCGGGGCGCGGGGCAGTAATGGGGGGAGAAGTTGGGCTGGGAGACCCCAAGGCTCAGCTCCGCTGGGTGCAGGCGGAGGGGGAGGCTGTGTGCAGGCGCTTTTGTGCGGACAGGCTCAGGAGTGGCCTGACGATCACTGACTTCCTTTGTGCTGTCCCTCTGCCCCGGCACTCCTCAGAGCCCCTCGCATCACACTGACCCCTGAGCCAGGGAACATCATTATCTCTGCTCTGTAACTGAGGAAACTGAGCCTCAGGGGTGGACGGATGTGCATGGAGGAGAGGGCAGGAGCTGCCCGGTGAGTGAGCAGGTGGTTGGGGGTATCAGAGGATAAGGAGTGGGTGAGTCCCCTCCCCTCTCCCCCAGCAGCAAAGACAGAAGGAGAGGAAATGTGTCCACATTCAAACCTTCCAGAAAAACACAGGTGATTGTTTTCTCAATTTTTCAGTAGTCAGAGATTTCTTAGAAAGGACATAAAAAGCATAGACCCTAAAGAAGTTGATAAACGAACTTCATCAAAATTTTAAACTGTTGTTTATCAAAAAACACTCTCAAGAAAATAAATAAGTGAGCCAAAGACTGAGAGGAAATATTCATAGCAGATATATCTGACAAAGGACTTGGTAACTCGATAAAGAACTTCTGTAACTCAATAATAATAATAACCAAAATAATGGGCAGAAGATGTGACCACACCTCACAAAAGATGATGTATAAAAGAGCCAATAAGCATATGAGAAAATGCTTACCCAATATAATTTGTCATAAGGAAAATGCACATAAAAACCATAAGCAGGTATCACCATACATCCACACTATGATCCAGCAATTCCACTCCTAGGTAGTTATCCCAGAGAAATAAAACCATCTGTCCACAATACCTATACAAGAATATCAATGCATCTTTATTCATAACTAGAGGCCTGGTGCATGAAACTTGTGCATGGATAGATGGGTAGAGTCCCTAGGCCTGGCCAGCGATCAGGGCCGATTGGGGCCTTCCTTTGTTCCATGCTGCCCCCTGGTGGTCAGCGAACATCATAGTGAGCGGTCTAACTCCCAGTCGGGTGAACTTCTGAGAGGACAATTTGCATATTAGCCTTTTATTATATAGGATAGCCAAAACCAGAAAACAATTCAGATGTCCATCAACAAGTGAATGGATAAATAAATTGTAGTATATATGTACACTGGTATGTATATTCACTCATCAGTGGGGGGAGAAAACCCAACTACGATTTAAATATTATTTCTACCATGTTACAACACGGTCGAATGACAGGTGTGTTATACTGCACGATAGAAGGCAGACATGAAAAATACACACTATAGGGTTCCTGAGGGGTGTGACCTTGATGCTGCCGCTGCACTCACAGACCTTGACTTCGCTGGTCCAGGGACCCAGCTTATTATTCTTACACAAACTAGCAAAGGGACCCCAGAAGGGACAGAAATAGTAACAGGCCAATTTCAATAGATTGTCAAAGAATTGCTCCCTCAAAAAACATCAGGTAGTTCTGCAGGAGAGTTCTACCAAACATTTAAAGAACAGATATCTTTAACTCTTCTAGAATAGCGATTTTCAGCCAGTGTGCCACAGGAATTTTTACAACATGCAATACCTGACTATTTAGTCAGGGGCACTGACCACTTTTCCCTTAGATTGTCAAATTTTAAAAAAATCAGAGCAGCCAACATAACAATAGCCGTCCAGTGTGAATGAATCAAAATTATACCTTTTTTTTTTTGTCAGATCCGCAAAACAAGAATTATCAAAGCTATTCAAGAAGAAATAGATAACCTGAATGGTCCTGTATCTATTAAAGAAATTGGGGGGGTGGGGAACCTGCAAGAAATATCTCCAGGGATAAGGGGGGCTATTCCACAGTGATAAAGATCAGTTGATCAAGAAGACATTTCAAGCCAAAATGTTATGAATACAATAATTAAACCTCCAGGTACCTACCATCACCAGAGTCCATTAACATGGCTCTGAGTGTGTTGGCCGATATGAGCAGACAAGAAAAAGAAAAAACAGGCGTAAATACTAGAAGAAGGCGGCTCAGGTGATACATGGTATACCTAGCAACTCAAAAGTATTGACTAAAAATAGAAATGATGAGTGCTATCAAGGATGTAAGGCAATAAACATGTTTACACGGTTGGAAAGAGTTATAATTGGTATTAAATTTGCTGGAAGATGATTTATCATTATTCACTAAAAGGTTCATGTGTACGTGTCCATTAGCCCAGGGGACATTTGGGCAGGGAGGTTAGAATGAAGAGTAAGGAGAGAGAGAGAAAGTGAGAGAGAGAGAGAGAGAGGTTTGGGTGAATGAGGGTTTAGAACTGGAGTGCTGGGGAGAAAGCTTCACCCCAAGGCAGAGAAAGTGGCTCAGGACAGAGCTGCCAAGATGGCTAGAAGCCTAGGCGGGGTCCCCTCACCCAGCCAGGCCAGGGCAGCCACAGATGGAACAGGAAGATGAACTCAACACCCGACGAATGAACGACTTGGAGTCCATCTCTACAGGAAGAGGAGAGTGTAGGAGGCACGCTCTGGAAAAGATAGAAAGTCAATGATCCTCCAAGAGGTGACAGAAAGAATCTGCTTCAGGCTACAGGTCTGCATCTGCAGGTTTGGCATTCAGCCCAGATGCTGAGGGAGCAGGGAATAATTCCAAGGTGAGAAATGGACTCACTCCCAGACACACCTCAAGAGGGTGAGTCAGGAGGGTCTGGAAAAAGGGCAGCTCAGTCCATTTACATCTCAGTGAGAATCAGGGAGGCTGTAACTACTTTGGGGCGAGCGGGCGGGGGGCGGGGGGGATTTCTGGTAACTTTTCCTATTTGTTGTTTTTGTTATTCTATCTCAAAAACCGAAGTTTAGATTTATGAACTAGAATACTAGACACATAGGAGAGTGCACCAACAAGACAACTTCACAAATTAATGAACACCCGTGTAGCCACCATGCCTATGAAGAAACTAGAGGCCTGGTGCATGAAATTCGTGCACTTCGGGGGAGGGGGCCTCAGCCCGGCCTGCACCCTCTCGCAGTCTGGGAGCTCTTGGGGGATGTCTGACTGACGGCTTAGGCCCACTTCCCTTGGGAGCCTCTGTGGACATCCTTAGCATTACCACAGAGGCGAGAGAGTCTCCCACTGCTGCACTCGCCAGTGATGAGCCCGGCTTCTGGCTGAGCAGCGTTCCCCCTGTGGGAGCACACTGACCTCCAGGGAGCAGCTCCTGTGTAGAGCATCTGCCCCCTGGTGGTCAGTGTGCGTCATAGTGACCAGTTGTTCCACTGTTGGCGTATTAGCCTTTTATTATATAGGATAAACTCTGCCAGCCCCAGAAGCCCCTCACAGATCACATCTCCCCACAGAGATAACCACTACCCCGACTCTCCTAGTAATCACTTCTGCTGTCTGGTTTTGCCATCTACATGTCACAATCCAAAACCATTTCGTGGTGTAGTTTGGTTTGCTTTCAGACATCTAAATGGAATCTTACAAGATGTCTTTTGTACACATGGCTTCTTTCACTCAATATTATCCTTTTTTTTTAATGATTTATTCATGTTGTCGGTGATTTGTGTGACTGATATTTCCTCCCACTCTGTGGGTATGTCTTTTCACTCTTCATGGCATCTTTTGATGAACTGTTTTTAATTTTAACACAGTCTAATTTATCAGTCTTTTCCTCTGTGGTCTGTGCTTTTGGTATCTTGTTTAAGAAC